CGTGACGCCTGGATCCACTAATGGATGTTACACTGAATCGATCAACGGATGTTGCCGTGGATCCAGCAATGGATGTTACCCTGGTAACATATGTGGATTTTACCCTGGATCCACCAGTGAATGCCACCCTGGAGTCTACAGATGATGTTACCCTGGATCCACCAGTAGATGTTACCCTTGACCCGCCAGTTGATGTTACCCTTGATACCCTTGATCTACCAATGGATGTAACTTAGTTGTATACTTCAGTGCATATAACTATAACAGTAATTTTATATAAGTGCACACAAGTAGCTATATTCAACCAACCAGGGGGCGTATCTTTATAGTATATTTTACGCGTTTATATCAACAAACAATGGCATGGACTCAAACTATGATCACTCCATAAATGATCAGTTGGGTGCAGGGGGGGCGAAGCGGTCTAAACTTAATAAAACCAAAAAAGCTGGTTGTCTTAGAGTTCAATCCCCACCAAAGCCATTATCCCAAGCACGCCGGGTGGATGGGACTCGTTAGCCTTGGAAGGAAACTCGTCTAAGAGAAGGCGAACCCTGAATTTAAACCAGGAGCCTGAATGATCCATAAATTGATCGTGGGCCCCTCAAATGTATAAAAAAACAACCAAATAATAAAAAAATTCCTTAGCACGAACGCTATTTAATCCACTCTTGGAAATACTTAAAAAAATTGAACCCTAATCAACTCAACACGGCAGTGCACAAACTTTATTCTGGACAAAAATATGTATTAAAACACTAACACACGGTAGCTTAGCTAGGCGGTGGGGAGGGCTTTGTGCTGCCCTTTTTCCCAAAAGACTACGCAGTTTGCCGGAAAAAATACCCCCCACCCCCCAAGTAGAAAGTATAGTAGTTCCTTCAGAGGTGGACCACCCCCCCCCCCCCCTCACTTCTCCACAACCCATCTTCTATGTCAATGATGACACAAAAAAAATAGGCGGTGGGGAGGGCTTTGGGCTGCCCTTTTTCCCAAAAGACTACGCAGTTTGCCGGAAAAAATACCCCCCACCCCCCAAGTAGAAAGTATAGTAGTTCCTTCAGAGGTGGACCACCACCCCCCCCCCCTCACTTCTCCACAACCCATCTTCTATGTCAATGATGACACAAAAAAAACAAAACAGAACAAGCCACGGCCCCCGGCACAGATATTACAAATGATTTCCTGATTGTTTTTATTTAAATTTTTAATTTTTTTTTTCAGGTCCAACATTCCAAAGAGAGTCACAGCAACCAATCTGAAATCAACATTACTGAAACTCATCGTAGCGATCGCTTTACTGTCATTGTTCTACATCACACCGTAAGTATTGTTTTTTTTTACTCTCTAGACTTCTTTTTGTCAGTTTTCGACATGTACCTGATCACGCCGTAAGTATTGTTGTTTTACCCTCTAAACTTCTGTTTTGTCAGTGTTCTACATGTACATGATCACGCCATAAGAATCGTTATTATACCCTCTAGACTTATGTTTTGTCAGTGTTCTACATGTACATGACCATGCCGTAAGTATCGATGTTATACCCTCTAGACTTCGCTGCAGATCAACGGAGTGAAACAATTAAAGGACATTACAGACAAATTTCGAACTTGTTTTATTAAACATCTTTTTTTTCCCCCAATCCATCGATCCAATTTATGAGGCTGTCCAATGGCGAAGGATTATTTATTTATTTATATGTTAGCAGTGCAGATTGAACACCGCTATTCAACGTGGCCGTTAATGCACTTAATCGTTGGTCGGAAGGACTAAACGTCTAAGCCAAGTCGGCCACAAGTATGTTGTGCAGGTCTAGTTTAGAGTATAAGCAATGGAGCAGTTAGTAATTTTATGTTAGTAATGGAGTTGCAGAGTAAGAAGAGCGGGATGAAAGCAGAAGACACGCTTGATATTTAATAAAGAAACATTTGTCTTGTTTTGTGAATTACTGGTTTATTAAGTAATTTAATTACCCCTAGCAAAAACGAAGCTACTGAGCTTGTAAACACCCAGCTCGTACAACAAGAGTGGAAATCGAGAAAGGGTAAAGATAGGATACATTATGATCCAATTCATTTTAATCGGATCTATTTTACAATACGATAAGTTATTATACGATAAATTACGATCAGATAAATTATGATCGTATCAATTTCGGACACATACCTTATGACCAATGTTCCCTTTAAACTGCGCGGCTGCGTTGCCGCGCAGCTATCTCACAGACGCCGCGCAGCAGTTTTGAGTATCCGCGCAGAAAATTTCCATGTTAGTGTGTGTTTGTGGGCTGCAGCAGCAGTTTTGAGTATCCGCGCAGAAAATTTCCATGTTAGTGTGTGTTTGTAGGCTGTGAAATTTTCCACACACAAAAATTGATGCTGTAAAAATTTGCACACAACTGTATGATATTACACAAGAACCAACAAACATTAGATGGAACATTGATTATGACAGGATAAATTCTGATTGGATAAATTTTGATAGGATACATTATTACTGGATAAATTACGATGTGAAAATTATGAAAATTATTAAAGGATAAATTATGATTGGATAAATTACGACAGAATAAACTATGGCTAGATAAACAATGATCAGATAAGCTATGATCAAGTGCAGTGCAGGAAAATACAGACAAAAAATAAATGAACAATAAAAATAATAATTGCAGGTTTGTTACCGTGAAATATATATAGAAAAAAAATATGATTGAGAAATATCCGTTGTTTTCTTAACTGCAAATTTTGTTTTGTTTTTAATATATTTATTAAAATATTTTTTTATAAATGGAATGACTCGAGTTTTCGTCTCATTCTTCTGTCCGGCGCTACCGGGGGAATGTCGTAACTGTTAATAAGGGGCAGCTGGCGCTGTTTCGAACCGGGTCTTACTTAAAAGGTTCGTTGGCTTTGTCGTCTAGGGGTTTGATTATATAGATACTTCACAAACCATTATTCTCATATTAAATATCTTTATTACATAAACTAAGTTACAGCTTCACCTGCCAATGCTCACAAGACTACAACACCACACTAATCTACGTCACATCCCCTTTCGCGCAGTGCGTCACAAAATATCAAACATTTAATAAAAGCATCTAACCCAAATACTCTCTAAACAACACGCCATCACCCAAACACATTCAAGGCCTCAAGAGGCGCCACAATGTGATGGGCCTCTTCAAGGATCCTTGTGAGGACGTTTAGCCTGTGTTTGACGTCTCCAATCGTCACCGCATTATCGCATTTCATGTCGCGTTAACCAGTGTTGAAGTGTGCGTTTCTGATAGAGCGTGTCTGTTTCTAAACAGAGACCTGGCAAAATGTCTTTGATATGTATTCAAACACACGCGTTTTATTAATTTATTACTCCTTTTTTTAAAATCTTGATTGCTGTAAGAGGTGTTTGGCCCAAACGTCCATGTAATGGGCCTTTCTTATTATTTTAAAATCTTGATTGCTGTAAGAGGTGTTTGGCCCAAACGTCCATGTAATGGGCCTTTCTTATTATTTTTAAAATCTTGATTGCTGTAAGAGGTGTTTGGCCCAAACGTCCATGTAATGGGCCTTTCTTATTATTTTTAAATCTTGATTGCTGTAAGAGGTGTTTGGCCCAAACGTCCATGTAATGGGCCTTTCTTATTATTTTTAAATCTTGATTGCTGTAAGAGGTGTTTGGCCCAAACGTCCATGTAATGGGCCTTTCTTATTATTTTTAAATCTTGATTGCTGTAAGAGGTGTTTGGCCCAAACGTCCATGTAATGGGCCTTTCTTATTATTTTTAAATCTTGATTGCTGTAAGAGGTGTTTGGCCCAAACGTCCATGTAATGGGCCTTTCTTATTATTTTTAAATCTTGATTGCTGTAAGAGGTGTTTGGCCCAAACGTCCATGTAATGGGCCTTTCTTATTATTTTTAAATCTTGATTGCTGTAAGAGGTGTTTGGCCCAAACGTCCATGTAATGGGCCTTTCTTATTATTTTTAAATCTTGATTGCTGTAAGAGGTGTTTGGCCCAAACGTCCATGTAATGGGCCTTTCTTATTATTTTTAAAATCTTGATTGCTGTAAGAGGTGTTTGGCCCAAACGTCCATGTAATGGGCCTTTCTTATTATTTTTAAATCTTGATTGCTGTAAGAGGTGTTTGGCCCAAACGTCCATGTAATGGGCCTTTCTTATTATTTTTTTTTAAAGAGCCCAAACATATCATTTTCTACAAATTTGTTTTTCTTTCATTTAACAATATTCCCTGTCCAACACTCTTTAAAAAAAACAACAAAAAAACGTAATGGGGTGCGGGCAAAAATATGTTGAGATAAACACATATTTAAAAACGTTTAAAAAAAAATACATCTAGGCGTTTGCGAAACAAATCAAGCACAAAAATATGTATACATATTATTTTAAAACAGATGCAAAGTTTATATTTAAATGTTTGTTAGACCTTTGCAGAGCCTGCAATGCACAGCTACATCAAGTCACACGTACCAATCAGACTGGTCAAATCTTATCAGTTGCCCGCACTTTTGACTATTTTCCCCCCCCCCCCCCCGGCCATCGAACTTTTTTTTTTTTGGTTCGGAAAGAGGGCGAGGGGGAGACCAAAAAATATTGATACCCCTTCCCCCAACCTGGCTCGCCACCCCAATGTGCCAGTAAGTCCTAGTGACACCACTTCATCAAATATGGTCTCAGGTAGAACATTTCTATCATTTGTTTATTCTTACGGTTCTTTCAGCGTGCGTGTCTTCTCCATTGGATTCAGTGATCAGCAGCCGGTGAATGTTACATCGTCACGGCCTAATTCTACGGCAGTCTTCTCTCTGACAGATTCTGCGAACATCTCAACAATTCCTACTTTGAAAATAACGTCCGCCAATAATATGTTGGAGTAGTTTGCCAACGACACGATCCACGTCAGTACCCATTTCACAACGAGCTTACCGGCGACAACAACAGCCCAGGTCAAGACTGGACCCTTATTCATGACGGCAGCGTTTATGGGTCGGCTCGGCAACCAGTTATTTATCTACGCGTCCCTGCTCGGCATAGCCAGGGCGCAGAACAGAACCGCTTTCATACGGAGAGGGACCGACTTGGAAAAGGCCTTTCAAATAACTCACGTCAACCCCAATATTAGCATAGCAGGGTTAGTACCTTTCTTTTGCTCAATCTTTCAAATAACTCACGTCAACCCCAATATCAGCACAGCAGGGTTAGTACCTTTCTTTTGCTCAATCTTTCAAATAACTCACGTCAACCCCAATATCAGCACAGCAGGGTTAGTACCTTTCATTTGCTCAATCTTTCAAATAACTCACGTCAACCCCAATATCAGCACAGCAGGGTTAGTACCTTTCTTTCGCTCGATCTAATCGCATCTTTATTTGGCGAACTGCGGGAAGAAAGAGTCCGAGGTTATTTATGTAAGAGTTGGAAGGAGATAGAATTTGGAAGAGACGAGGGAACGATGCCATGTATGCAGAGGCGTAGCGTGGTGGGGGCAGGGGGGACAGATGTCCCCGGGTGCCAAACACCCTCGCTACGCCTCTGCATGTATGTGACTAAAGCGTCGTGGGGTTATATCCGCATCAGATCAAAAGGGGTTTATGCATAATACACTAAGAATGGCCCGTCAAACAACGACGGTGGCGGTGCGTGAACTTCCCATCTACTAAAGTTACCTGACGAAACACGAAATCAAGTTACGCCTCTTCCTAAGAACCCCAATTTGTACTAACTTGTGAGGATTTTAGTTTTCGCTTCTACCGACCACAGCGCTAAGCCTTACACGCGTGCGTGTAAAGAACTATTTATTTAAGATGATTTATTTAAAACTAATTACAGTCTTAAAGACAATTTAAGCTAAGGGAGGCTTGTCAACGCCATTTTGTTATACTGTATGCCTCATACTACAAGATAATATCTTATTAACTGCATTTTATTATTTTTTTAAATTTGTCTAAGATTCCTCACTGTCCACCAGTCAAAGTATGCATCTTTTGAGCCAAAGCTGATGAACCTTTCAAGAGACAACCTAACCTTAGTCGGGTATCTGCAAGTCTGGAGATACTTTAGGAATATAGAAGACGAAATAAGAAGAGAGTTCACCTTCAGCGCGTCCTTAAAGAAACAGATTGATGACATTTTGGACCAGGTCAGGGCAGAGTTCAAACGTGACGTATTAGTAGGCGTCCACGTGAGGCGAGGTGATTTCCTGTCCACCAGAAACCAAAATCTGGGGTACGGTGTCGCCAAGACGTCATATTTCACCAAGGCGATGGACAGAATGAGGTCCATGCTAAACGGCACGAACGTCACGTTCGTGGTGGCCAGCGATGATCTAAAATGGTGCCAGGAGAATTTAAACTTTACCGACGTTCGAATACTGGAACCAGCCTCACCTCCGTTGCACTTTGGTGTCCTGGCCAACTGTGATCACGTGATATTAGCGGGCGGAACCTACGGCTGGTGGTCGGCCTGGTTGGCCAACGGCATCGCCATTTATTACGATAAATTTCTCGTCAGAGGAACATGGGTCATGGGTGGGGTTACCTTACAATACTATTATCCCCCCCCCCC